TCATAAAATGTGTTTATGTCCCCCTCTTTTCACTTTTTATACTTATCTTTTTTGTATTTCAATTTTTCAGAGAGTTCTTTATGCAGCCATGCTGGTTTCTTTTGGGAGCTGTTATTTTTCTTCTTCATTGGTATTTTGCTAGACTGGGCTTTCTCATTTTTTCACAATTTCCAAAACTTCTTGAGTTGTTTTCCCCTTGAGGATTCTCATCCATGGAATTCTTCCCAAGCTCTCTCCAAGCTTATTGAAATTAGCTCTTTAAAGTCCAAGACTCTAGTTTGACTTTGTTTTACTACTTGTATTTGTATAATGTTAAATTCCAATATTGCATGGTCACTTGTCCCCAGGGTTCCAATCAGATTCAGTGGAAAGAACTTGAAACACAAAAACTTTTCAAGAATACCCATACATCAGAAATAAGACCTGTAGCTTAACTCCTGGTACTTAAGGAGCTGCCAAAACCTCAGCTTTTTAAAAAAGCATTTGGGACATTTTGATATTGCTGTACTATAGACAGCCCTTGACTTATGACAGGCCTCTTAGTGACCATTCAAAGTTATGACAGACCCCCCTCCAAAAATTACTTGCAGACTAATTTCAAAGTTACAATGGCTGCACACACCCCTCCAATCCTGTGTTTTCATTTGGATTCTTGGCATCTGGATCACCATTATAGCCACCTGCAGTGTCCTGTGATCACATGACTGCAATTTTTTAATTTATTTTTGCAGATTTCAGGTGTTTACTTCTGGCTTCCAGCAAATAAAATTTCCATTGGGTAAAATGGATTTGTTTTATTTGATTAATGATCACTACAAAAAAATATATATAGTGTCCTGCCTAACAACCACAATCCTGTGATTCTGGCCTCAATTACAGTCCTATGTCAAGGACATACTATAAGCTGCCAAAAGGCAGAATGATTAAAGCAGCATAAATGCACTTGAAATTAAAAAAAAATATCAACACATAAAAACTACAGGTAGTCTTGCTACTTAATAACTGTTGAAAATTACAATACCCACAGGTTAGTTAAGAGTCATTTTTGAATTATGATGGTTACCCCTACCTCGTTCACATAATCATATTTTGGGTACTTGGCAACCAGCTTATATTTATGGCCATTTGTGGTTACGTGAACATGTTTGCAGCTTTATAGCTTTTTTTTCTATAGTTTCTAGCATTTAATGTTGGTTACCAGTAAAAAAAAAACAGCCATTGTGTTAGGGTTCACTTAACAACTACTGAAAAAGATGTAAAAAAATATGGTGCAGTCACATAATGCCATCACTTATAACCCCAGTCCTTCTACTTTAATTCCTGGGTCAGTTATGGTCATAAGTCGAGGACTACTTTTATTTTAATTGAAAACTACATTACAATATTCCAAGAAGTATAAATAAAATTTTAACTTTAATCTACAAAAAATCTAAAATTTGGAATTATATGTTTAAAAACGTAGGTAAAATGAAAGTATTCTTTTATACTCATGCATATAAATAATAAGTTTGTTTGTTTATTAAATTTATCTATGTTACCTATCGCCTCAGAGATGTCTTTGGAGAGCCTAAAAGCATTAAAACTAATATAGATTAAAATAATAAAACAAAATAATAATAATAAATAATTTTAACACAAAGTAAACTCTGTGTCATATACATGTTCTACTGAAGTTGAAGTCTACTTACATACACAAATATGTAAGGTATGTATAGGATTTAGAAAACATTATTAAGTAGAAATCATACCAAATTCACAACGCTCGCAAGGGCTACCCCAAGCAGCTCCCAGAGTAGCACAGCATTCTGATTTCAAAGTAGCTCCATGAAGGTTTACTTCACAACGATTATCTTGGATGTTCAACCAGCATGTTCCTTTCAGACTATCTACAGGAAAGTCAAACACAATAAGGCCTTCCTAATTCATCTGAGGTAAAGCATATTAATTATAAATGAACACAAAATAACTACTGATCTTGTAGAAATTTACTGTTAGAGCCTTTCAAACTGGCTTGTCAAATTGTGCTGCTACAATATAGTACTGCTATAAATAAGGCAATGTCATTCTATCCAGCCTGTTCTTCATGCCTTTTTTAAAATATTATTTATTCCCTTTAATTGGTTCTTCTTATAATTTCTTGCTTTCAATTATTGTGAGCCACCCAACTGGCACAGGTTGGGTGGAGACCTTATCAGTAAATCAGAAAACTCCTAATTAAATATTAATTCTTCTTCTATTAACAGCAAACAATTAGGATTTTTCTAAATGTAATAAATGTACCAATCACGAATTACAGCTTATTTTTCTCTGAGGTATATTTAAGTTTCACTAAATAAAAGACAAATTCTTTTTGTAACATATTCTGAAACTTTTTTTCTGAAGTTTGATAGCATTTTCTTGCTGAAAAATGAATTTTAATTAGAATGTCACCAAGTAAGATATTGTATGGAGCTATTGTTCAGCTATATTATTTCTTGGATATTACCATATACTCTTCTTTTCTCTTTTAAAGACTATTGTGTAAAAACAAATTAAAAAATTCATACTTTTTTAAAAAAAAGAAATCATTAGACTTACCAATACAAATGAAGCCGGTAGAGTCTAATTTGCTGCCAGATAAACATTCACAGATGAAAGACCCAAGATTGTTCCTGCAAGCACCATTGACACAAGGACTGCTTTCACATTCATTTATATCTATAATGCAGAAGGAAACATGTCAGACTCACTGTATGTTTCTGGAAAATATTATAATGTATGAATCTTGCCATAACAACATTATGCCAGATTGTCTGGAAAATGTGTTCACAGATCTAAGAAAAGAATTAAATGTCTATAATGCAAAGAATGTATGACAGGCAGATAACAGTGCCTGCATAATTTTGTAAGTGATAATTGGTTACCTCAAATAACCTAGAAATATATAAGAATTTCAACTGAAGCAGTTTTCCAGAATAACTGTTTTGTGAGAAATCAAGAATACTTTTTAATGGAAGCAGCATGTTCTGTGCAACAATATGTCCAAAAATTGTTTTTTTTCCATTTATGGCTCATACAGCTTTAAGATATTTTTAAAAACTATATAAACTAATTGTGTTGTGACTCCACTGACTCAGCCAGAGTTTGGAAAATAATATTGTATAAGAGGGGTGTGTGTGATTGCAATAATCTATTCTCCTCCATTTTTTCCACAATTGTGTTTAAGTAGTTCCATGTGAAGACATATCATCTGACAGTTGGTATTAATTGCAGAAAGATAAATAAGGGGTGTTTTTAGTGACTTAGGCATTGTGTAAATGGTATATGAAAAAGACCTTGAGAAATAGGGCAAAGTGATACAGCTTAGAGAATAATCAGATAAGAGAAGATACAGGCCACAGCTACATAAAGGGTGGAGAAAGAGGTTCAGAAGACACCCTCCCTAACTTTACAGGCTTCAAAAGAAACAGTGGAGATTTATACATTCACACTTGTAAGATTCTGTTAATTAGCATTACAATATAGTAGTAGTTCATGTGTCTGTTTCATATCTGGTATAACTAAGATTAATACACTTATTTTATTGGCAAGAATACCTGTACCACTTTTCCAGTATGTTGTTCTGACTTCTAGGCCGAACATGTCTATTAATAGTCTGCTAATGATTAAATGGTACAATGGACAACCTTTAGACATTCAAATTGGGGACAACCAGTAATGGTATGTGAGAATGTATTAGATAAACAAGGGAAAGAGATGTTGTCAAAGGAACAAACAGACAAGACAAGGAAGAGTTCTCAATGGCTTAATGTCACAGCAAGAAACCTAGAAAGGACCTCCTATTGCTTTTAACTGCCTGATCAGTTAGGGCAGATCATGTCCCATTTTATCATGAGCTTGTGTGAAATTCTAGACTTGGAGGGAGGGGGTTTTCTGAGTTTAAAATCCTTGAAACAACCATTTTGAATATTTTGATAAACTTTAAATGACAATGAAAATGGAATACAATGAATTTATTATTTAATGTATCAGACATTAACACATCTGCATATCTACACATCCCTAAATTCTATCAGCAATTCAATCTGGGGGAAAAATGAACTTGGACAAGGTACTGAAAACTCTGTTTTACTTAATCTAAATGAATTTGAGTTTCTATAAAGACTATATATCAATAAAAATGCTGGCAAATTTCTCAAGAGGTTAGGTGGAAATGGGGAATCTGTATTTATGTCCTGTAGTCACTTCTAATGATTAGAAAGTGTGCCTTGTGACTTTGGCCAAATAGCCTTTTTTGGGTGCCAAATGAATAGAAGGGTTTTTTTCCCCCCAGTCGTCTCCTTCTCCCTCTCTCTTCTGCTAACTTTACACATGTTTAGTGTTTAGAAACTCTCATAAATTTAAGAGATTGCCAGGGGCATGGAGAAAATTTGCTCTTTTAAAATATGTCCACCATTTAAGTGAACTGTAAATGTCTGTGTTCTTGTAACTTTATATTTCTAGACATATTATTAATTATAATAAACCTACCAAGCCCAAGTGGCTGGTAATATTCTGGTAATATTCCATGTTTAGCATTTTCCCACTCACGGGTGGTCAGACAAGACTTTTACACAGTTTCATCTGTTATGCCAGTTATGCCCTAGATCAGTGATGGTTAACCTTTTCGGCACTGACAGCTGAAACTGGAACGTGCGCATGTGCGCCGGAACCCAGAAGAGAGCAGCCGGTGTGCATGTGCAAGGTAATCAGCTGCTCTTCTGGGTTCCATGGTGCTCATGTGTGCTTGCCAGCTGGTCTGGCACGCATGCACACTGACCAGCTTCTCTCTTCCGGTTCTGTTATGCACATGCTTCTAGGTGTCATTAGAGATGCTGGTTGCTATTTTCAAAGGCTTACATAGCATAGGGCCTGGTTACTTGATGGACCCCTATGTTGCATAATATCTGCCTGCTTGATTCAAGGTAGTAGGGTTGGCACACTGCAGGTTCCTTCTGTTAAACAATGTTATCTATTGGGTGCTGAAAACATATTTTCTACCTGCTACAAGTATGGCAAAAAAAATCAAAGTTAAGCATTACACTAAAGTACCAAATTGGCTTTCAACGATGGAAGCATTTATCTATCCAAACGTGTTAGATATAGATAAAATAAAGAGATACAAATATTTACTAAATGAGCAGGGGGAATTGAAAACGAGACTAGAACTAAAAGAGCAGGGCACAGATATCGATTGGTGGCCATACATGCAAATTCAGGCTAGATATAGGAAGGACAAAGAACAACATGGATTCCAAAATAACTGCAAGAATTAGACAAGATTTTACAAGGTACGGAGGATAAATTGATTAAGAAAATATACAATTATTTATTGAATTATAGAATGGAGAAGGTAGTTAATAATAGTAAATAATAATAATAGTAAATAATAATTATTTGAAGAAGAAAAATGGAAACACATCTTCTAGTAATAGCACCTGCCCTCTGGAATGAGATTCCTCCAAAATGCAAACAGTCCCACCCTACTGGAATTTTGAAAGGTCCTGAAGACCTGGCTTTAGATATGCTATCTCAGCCATCTTTGTACTCTTTTTGTTTTGTGAAGTTTCTTGTTTTAAAATTAACTATTTCTAAACCCAGAAATGTTGGCAGTTTGATAGCATATAAATTTGATAAATTATGGTTCGTCACACAGTCAACCAAATGTTTAGACTGGATTTGAGTACCCAGGTTGTTGAAGGCAATATGCTTATATTTGTAAACACTATGAAGTGGTATATTTAAGAGCTATTGCTATTGCTATTTGTCATTTTTATCCATAGTAAGTCCTTGCCAAGGACCTGGAATAGGCAGTTGTTGATGTCTGATGGTTAGAGGTATCACTGCAGGATGTAAGCTGTTCCCAGTAGAGCTACTACTATTACTATTATTATTTACTACAGGTAATTTATATGTAAACCTTTTTAAGACAAGTCCTATTCTTATATGGTTTGGAGTGGACTATAGTGTTACATTTTGCAACACTCTATTTTCTTTGTTTTAATGCACCCTTGAGTATTTTATATATTTGCCATAGCAGTTTAAGAACTAAATAACATTATTTAAAACAAAATAAAAAATATGACAACTTTCATTTCTGTTTCTCATAGATTTAAGCCCAGATTATTCAATATTTTAATACGCTTATAAGAGTTTGCAATCATCTTAGAACAGGTTTTAGGGAGTTTTTTATCTAATAAAATGTTAAAGAAAAAAAGATTTATAAAGATTATAAACAGGCTATTTTCCATTGTAATTTCTACATTAAAAACTTAGCGTAGCTGAATTTTCTCCTGCTATAAAACTATTATGTTATTTTTTTTCTTCTTGAAAGTCAAAGCCAACATCTGAAATGTTCCTTGTGATTACATTACAATGATTTATGTATCGTTGTTTGTGTTCTGGATTCATGTATAACAGCGTGAACATGTTTATAGCTACAGCTGTTCTTTGAAGCTAAATATCAAGATAAACAGATACAGTTAGCATCTCTTTGTTGTACTATTTCAGCCTTCATTTTTTAATAAATTCTCCATAGTACTAAAATATTAAAACACATACGCAACCATCTAAACTCCCAACAAAGGACAACTTCAAATATCCTGCAATCTGATTTCCCTTAGTTCTTCTTCCTTATTGTCTTCTACATACACCAAATCTACTCTGGAGGTTTCCTCCAACTCTTTAAACCAGATTTAGAGGTCTATAAAGAAAAAAATATCCATCTGGTGGACAGCTTTTAAAACATTGACATGCACTATAATGCTAAGCATGTTTATTTAATGCAAGTCTCCCAGGGTTCAACAGAATCTACTTCCAATTGAACCGAATTGTGTTACATAAAATAACTCTTGTTGCAGTGTTATTTGTTGCATCAATATATTTTTACGCAGATATATTTATGTATCCTGATTTTACAACAGAAATGTGATTTTTTTAAAATACTTACAAGGTTTTCAATAAGTGTTCAAATTTTGACCATAATGGAAACTGGTTATTTAGAGTGAACCAAAATGTAGATATGTAGAAAGAGTATATGTTAACCATAAGGTATGTGGAAATCAGGAGCGAAGTTTTCACTGAACTTTTGGGAAGGCTTTGAGAAGTGCTGTTTGATTGGGCATTGATAAAATTAAAATGTCCCTGGAAGTGAACTGTGAATTCTATTGGCTACAATATGTCCCTGAAAACAGACTGCTTTTATTAACAAACAAGTAGGGCATTGTCCAATAGGGCATTTTCAATTTGTTGTAGCATGGTATATAAGATTATGATTCCGATGGCTATCATAAAATTATTTAAGAACAAGAAATCATGTTCTGAACAAATATGGATAATCTTATAGGAGCACATAAGTTCCTGCATGGCTGTACAAAGTACCATTCAACTTTTACCTGTGCAACAAAATTGTTATGCTACTACTTCACTGAGTTCACCACTTCAAATTTTGCTGGTTTTCTCCACATTTATCTGCACACAACACATTTCCTCTGAAACTGGGCAGTGGGCAAAATGAAGGCAATCGCCTTATCATTATCAACCACAGATGCCTTATTTTTCCACAGCACTATACTATCTCATAATAGATCAGTTAATCAACTGGAACTGAAGCAGCACCTTTCAAAATTATTGCTATTCGTATGTATAATTCAAATCACATTTTGCTTTGCATGCAGATTTTACATGTTGTAAATGTTCGGCAGATGTAAATGTTAGATGATAATTTAGAAAGTTATCTAAATCAGGCTATCTTTGTAGTACATGGTAATATTTTTCAAAAGATTATAGCCCAACATTCAAACCCAGTAATGTACTTCTCATTTAATATCATAAACAGACTTCCAGAATATTTAAGCAAATATGCCATACACCACCGTCACCAACAGCTTTTAGAGGAATAGTTACTCTGTAAAATATCTGCCCTAACAACTAAAAAACTGATGCAACTTTACAAATTAGCTTTCAATTTAGCTCCAGATATGTCCTACTTGTCCAGAAAAGTTTATTAATATTTAGTGAATCAGACTTCAAGATTTGTCTATTTTAATCTCAAAAATTAAAAAATTAGCTTACAATTAAAGTTTATAAGAATGAAGACTTTTGGCACTTTACATTTTTTTAAAGGAAGAAGTCCTACTGTAATCAAGTACTTTACCTTTACTAATATTATCAATTTAAATTAATGAGAGAATTGATTAAACAACAGAATCCCTATTTTTTTAATTAAAAATTATTACCTTCGCATGTGTCAGTTTCACTGCTGAATATATATCCTTTTGGGCACACACAGCTGTAACTTCCAGGCGTATTTCGACAAAGGCCATTGTCACATAATAATCGATTCACAAAACATTCATCAATGTCTAGAAAAGAAATGAATAGTTCAAATTAGTTTATATGCTAGAGAATGTGCTCTTCTATAAGCAAGCTATACCTACACTTAATTTTCACATTACTAAGTGTTTCTATAATAGATTGTCTCACTTCTTGAGACTTCATTTTATTCATGGTGACTGTCAGTTGCCTGCAATTTGGCAGTTCAAATCTCACCAGGCTCAAGGTTATCTCAGCCTTCCATCCTTTTGAGGTGGGTAAAATAAGGACCCAAATTGTTGGGGGCAGTATGCTGATTCAGTAAACTGCTTAGAGAGGGCTGTAAAGCACTGTAAAGCAGTATATGTCTAAGTGCTGTTACTATTGCTATTTCCATTGCTCAGCTAAAATAAGTAGGTGCCTATACCTAGTGGGTGGCAGTCAAATAAATAGCAACATAGGAAGATGCAAAAATCACATGAGTCACATTAGGGACAATAATGAAGCATCAATTCATACTGTGCAGATACAACAATGTGCCGTAGACAAACTAGATACCAAAATGGATGATAGCTTCTGTGTTTTAGGATCAACTATCCACAATAAAATAACAAATAGTCAAGAAAAAAATACTGCTAAGACTAGAACTTAGTAGAGGAGCCACGAAGGCCTTGAAAAATAAATTCTAATGCTGTGTTGTATCTACTTTTACAGAATTCAGAATAATGCAAACAATGGTATCTCCTATAACACTTTGTGTAGACGAAAATTGGACTGTAAAGAAACAGGATAGGAAGAGTTCTAAAACTTTTCAGTTTTGGATTTCTGAGAATACAAGCCAAAAAAACAAACAAGTTGATCATCCCAAAAAAATCAACCCAGAATTCCCACTCAAGGCACAAACGTTCAGTTTCAAACTACTGTATTACATTTCAGGCACATTGTGTGAGGATCTACCCCTCTGAAAACATCAGGGAGAAAGATGGCCTCAGTTACTGTGGCAATGGATTAGAAAGACTTAAAGGACTAGGCTAGGGACAGTTCGGCATGAAGATAATAACAGATTGTGATGGAGAAAAAATATCTATATAAGGGCTTAAGTGGTGATACTTAGTGATACTTATATGATGGCACATAATGAAAAATAACAATGATTTTTTTAAGGCTTTATTTTTTATTAACCTCTAAAATGCTAATAATGGATTGATAAGATATTAATTATGATTTTAGAAAACGATCTCACATTCTATTTATAGGAAATGTATTTATACTGCAAAAGTTCAATAAATAGCTAAAGTAGCTAAAGCCCCAGCGGCGCAGGGGCTGACAAGCAACGTATTTCATAATTCCCACAAATGGCAATGTTTAATAGAATAAACAAAATGAATCAAAAAAGAAAATGATTCCCTATAACAGTGTTTCTCAACCTTGGCAACTTGAAGATGTCCGGACTTCAACTCCCAGAATTCCCCAGCCAGCATTCGCTGGCTGGGGAATTCTGGGAGTTGAAGTCCGGATATGTTCAAGTTGCTAAGGTTGAGAAACACTGCCCTATAATATTGGAAGGTAGATATTATATGGTTAAATATATTATATGCAGTTAAAAATTGGTCATAACTGTTATAAGATACAAAGTCAATAACTTATTGATAGTAAGTGAAGACATACTCTAGTAGAGGTCACTATTCTTTCTGTGTATCAAAATCTTAAGGTATTAGAAATAGTTTCAGAATGAATATTGTTCATATAACATACCAACACAATTTTGTCCAGAAACATCTGATTCATATCCACTGTTGCAGTTACAACGATAGCTGCCACGTAAGTTTTCACAAACCCCGTTAGAGCAAATATCGGGATCTAAAGCACATTCATTTATATCTGCAATAATAATATAATCTGTCAGAGTATATTCTGCAGTTCCTTTTTTTATTAAATAGTAAGGATATATTATTCATAAAGGTCAGCACAGGTTTATATTCAATATGAACATTAATAGATAAAATAAAAAATCTTAGTTAGAAATCTAGAGACATATACATTGTTATTTAAAAATGGCATCATCAAAATATCCAACACATTACAATGTATTAAAACAGAATGAACCCAATACTATGTGGTTCTAAAGAAAAATATGTAGTCATTATAACAGTTTACATGCACAAGAATACAGGTAGTCCTTGACTTATTATCAGCCGCTTTGTGACCATTTAAAGTTACGATGAATCCCAAAAAGGTACTTATGACCTGGATTCAAAGTTCTGAAAGTCACCCACCACTTGTGGTCATTTTGGGCATTCAGCCACTGGATGACATTTACAACTTATTGTAGCGTTTTACAACATATTTTGCTGGAAACCAGCATTTACTTTAATTTTTCAGCAAAAATGTCCATTGCCCATAATGACTTTGTATAATGACCACAGCATTTACCACAAAAAGGAAAAAAAATCAGTGCAGTCATGTCATGATCCACTTAATGGCCAGCAGAGTTTATGATTATAATCTGGAGCTCAATTATAGTTGTAAATCAAAGACTAGGTTTACTTCTGTATATGAATGTTATTTGTTATTTTCTGTATATGCATATTTTACCTCTTCCATCCACAGTAATTCCTACTCCTCCACTACAAAGGCCATGGAACTCAGCTTCCCATGAGAAAATAAAAATAGCAAAACACAATATAATTAGAGCAACTATATTAAGTTTTAATATTTTAAAATATTTTAATGAATGTAGTTAAATTCTTTGAAAATTCTGCTCTTGTTCATACACTCAACATAATCAATTTCATTCTCTTATAAATAAAATAACTTCAGAAACACTTCCTAAAATAACAGCAAAATAATTTGTTTTAATGTTACTATAGTAACTATACCATATTTACTGTTTTTAAATAAGATAAATGTAGTCAAAGGTACACACATTACTTATATGGAAACAAACCTTCTATTACAATCATTAGATTATATCTTCATTTATAGTACAGAATACTATCTTGTTCACAATATTATTGTGTGTTATATACCACCCACCTTCACAGATTCCAAAATTCCTGGACAATTACACTACATTGTAATAGAGCAGTATCTCAACTAACAATTTACCATTGGCAAAGTTTGTAAAATATGCTTTTCTGGAATAAAAACAAGTTGCAAAGTATTGGTTTTTATATTAAATATCCTCTGTTTTTATATTTATTTGCATGTTATGGAATATGATCAAATAAGCTTTTTGGAACAGAATCCAGTTCAACATTTAGATCCAATTAAATTCAATGCTTGGATTAATTTATTATGAATGTCCTGTGCACATACACTTTGCTTTCCACATTCCTATTTTGTGCTATAGGGTATACTTTTTATTTACTAAAATTGAATTCAATCCATTGTGATTTTTTATGCAAAGCATGATTTTTTTGTATATAAGAAAAGTGTAATGCTCTCAGTAATATAAATCTTAAAGGGGATCTATATTATATTATTGTCTGTGGTTTAAAGACAAATAATGTTTCCTAAGAAAAACATACACAAGTATTAAAACTTCCACTGAAAAACAAAGAGATATACTTTCATCTGAAACTGATTTGAAATACCATTAAAAGCCCAGCAGAATCAAATGTCCTAGACATATAATATAGTACTTTGGAAAACTCTCTTTGTTTCCCTCTCTTTGTTTGTAATGCTACCAAAATGGTGTAGGTTCTTCATAATAATAAAAAACCCTGTTTTTAAAAAACAATGGACAAGATTTATAATTCATTTGTTTACAATTTATTATTCATACGTTATGTAGTCCAAAATTATATCCCATTACCTGAATTCTTGGCAGGACATGGGTGGCATGGTTCGCCAAAGCCATAATCTAAATTGGCACAGCAACATTCAGATTTTGTCACTGCTCCAGGAAAAGGGCGTACACATGCTCCCTTTTTTATTCCTCCATAGCATGTGCTTCGCATATGAGTATCTAAGAAACAATGTGAAAACAATATATAAATTCTTACTCTATAATGACATAAATATGCATTCTCAATTAAAAAATGAATCCAATTTTTACACCTAAAATTTATGGATTCATATGGAATCCAAGAATTTCCGTAAAATTCTATACCAGTCAAATACTAACATCCAGTTGTGGTTTATGTAATTACTGTTTTAAGTGGGTATTCTGTCTATGTTACAAATTATTTCTTAAGTAGCATACTAAAGTTTATCAATTAATTTATTTGACAAAAACATGTTATTTCAGATATGAATGAATCCATGTTCTACTATTTGTAACATTACTTTTTTTAAAATCTAAGATATATTTGTTGCAACAGGTGATTATATTGAACTGAGCCTGATTAATTAAAAAACAAGATAAACAGGGTTGGACCCAATTAGCACTGGAAAACCACTAGTAAATCTCAAAACTATAGGTTAGACCTAAAATGTTTTCTTAAAGTAGAATAAAATACTAACCTACACAAACTCGACCATCAACTCCAACAGCTAGTCCAGATGGACAATCACAACGAAATGATCCTTCTGTATTAATGCAGTGGCCATTCATGCAAATACCTGGAGTCTTGCATTCATCAATATCTATTAGAAAAAGTAAATTGTACATATTATTTAGTACTCCCTATGTGAACACCAATAGATCATATTTTTTAAAAATAAACAAAAATCTTATTAAGTAGATTGCTTGATAAACAATTAATATGGCTTTATTAATCAATGAATATTTCCCACCATTAAAAAAAGTTTGCTATCTTACATTCACAATCATATGACCCAGCGGTCTAAACCTTTCACGGACCATCAGTGGCAATGGCAGGGGGATAAATGATGGTTTCGTGCATATAATCTAGATCCTGTGCATGCACAAATGAAACTTGATGCTTCGATGGCCCAGTTCCCAGCAGGCCACAGACCAGGGGCTGGAGACTCCTGATATAGCCTACACCCTAATGCAGTTGAACACTTGGGGACCACTTTTTAAAAAAACTATTTTCTTCAGCCAAGAACAAGCTTATATTATCATAAAGGAATTAGAAGTCAATGAAGTCATTTTTTTCTTTCATTCATTTGTTTGATGTTTAAACTTATCCAACATCTTAATGAATGTATTTTGTTCACTACCCAAAAGAAAAAAAATATACCATTGATTTCCTACTGAATTTTATCAGTGAGATAAAATTGGTGGAATCCCAGACAGACCACAAAAAGACTGTCTCTGTAAAATATTCTTACTTATGTTATAAATAAATGTTATGTGTAACTAATTCTCCACGATTGTTCAACAACTATTATTGAAAACAATCTGGCTTAATATTATGTGGTAGCTACAGTAATGTAATTCTGCAATTACATTAAAGACTTTAACAACAAAAAGATAACATATGCATGTTATAAATAATAAAGATTTTCATTACACTTTAAAATGCAGAAAACACATCACAAACACATCACAAGCAATAGTTGCTAGGAGTCAGGCGGTATTGAAATGTAAATTTAGTAGTATTGTTATATAAGTACAGAACTTTTTATACAAATACTGGTCTCATCAAGACAGGTATAATATATATCTATATATACATATACATACCAGTACAGTAACGTCCATTAGGAGCCAGGACAAACCCAGGTTTACAGATGCACTTGAAACTGCCATCCTCATTAATACACATTCCATTCAAACACATGTTGGTAGTCGTACATTCATCATGGTCTGGAAAATAAAGCATTAGATATTACAATTTAAATAATAGCTCAAATTCTAAATACCAAAATATTTGTTTTCTACTCAGAAATAGAATTCTGATCTAATGGAAACTCCTGATGCAGGACAAAAAGGTGGGATTTTTTAAAAACTAGTTTTCCTCCTTATGCCAATCCAATTACTCCACACCTCAAAACTTGACAGTATCCAATATAATTCCTTAATCCATGGAATGCATCTTTAGCAATTTGCAAGCTTTTCTCAAGGAATTTGATTTTAGCAAATAATTTTAGGAATTATAACTAAAACAAACCATAAATTCAAAGCTCATCTAAGTAAAATAAAATAAAAAATGCATACCAATACAGTTTTTCCCATCAGTTGTTAGTTCAAAGCCAGCATTGCAAATGCACTGGAAACTACCATCAGTGTTCACACAACGACCATTCTTACAAAGGACACCATTCTGAATACACTCATCAATGTCTGAGAAAAACAAATAAAAGTAAACATTTCAATAACCAGCTATTATTTTATCTCAAGAGTTTTAAGACTACCTTCGTCTATAAATCCTGGGAACCTAACTATTTTGTGACTCAAGAGCCAGATATGGACAGAGGTGAGAGGTGGAGCAGCAAGAAAGAAAATGAATTTGGCTAAGTATAAAATGGGCATTTAATATAAAAAACACATGTTTTAAACCCCTTAAATTTTTCAAATAAATTTATTCCTTATGTCTTCCACTTTGTCACTATATTTAAAACCACAAATTTTAAAACCACTGACCAAAAGTTACTGTCAGATTAAAAAACAGCACAAGTATCTTTTTCTAAAACAAATAAAATTAACTACAAAACTAAGCTATTTACCCTGACCAAAGATTAAGACAATCAAGACTCTGTTCTCCACATACCAGTTGCTTTCTTTGCCTTAAAAATAATGTGTAGTTGCATGGGACATCATTAAATTAGGACTCTTTAATTCATACCCATATTGAGGCCCTAACTTGGATTGCTATGATTTCCCCAAAATCATTTCCCATCCCCGTGGAAATAGTAGGTTAGGGGCTATTTTGAATAAGTGTTCTTGTCTTGAACATTAACTTCTGCTGAACTTAGGCAAGAATGAATTCTCCTCTGGCTATAATTTCTGGAATAAAACAGATAACCAAGTTCAGAACAATTTTTGTTCTAAAAATTGAACTCTAAAAAAAGTAACCATATGCTTGTGTTGTATACACACCAATGAGAAATTATATTCATTGCAAATTGCAAACTTCCAGAATTAATCATGATTGATGAAAAAAGAAACTGGATATGCAAGCATACAATTTATTCATTATTTTTCATTATCTAAATGGAGCATTCAAGCAGCAAGAGGGTTACAGCTTTTCATGTTTAAAGCCTCAGAATATCCTGGATATATCTGAGCTCATATACTGAAACCTGAACTCTCCTAGTCAGCAGAATACTCTTTATCACCTGAGTTCAATAGAGTCCAATATATGCTAGGGATCAATAGGCCTATGGATTAAAATTTTAGTGCTATCATTAGGATCAAAATGGGTCTAGAAGCTTCTTCAGATTTTTTTTAGTGCTTTTCTGGCAAACATTAATTTGAAAAAAAAAATGAAAAATGTGCTTGGAAAAAAGACTCATTGAAATCTTGTTAACAGAACCAGTAACTGTTTTATTAGAACTGTACATATGGAATGCTGCTTTATTTTTTCATGGTTCAAATGAGATACATGTGTGCAGGATCACCGGAGTTAAACATGATACAGTTTGTCAAATTTTGCTTCACTATACCATAAATTTAATTAAATACCTGCAAACATTAAATCATTACCATGGTTTATTGAAGAGACAAAATAATCTTGTTTTCAGAGTTGAATAGGTATCAGACTCAAATCAAATATAAGCATACGTTGAATTGATAGATTGCAAACAACATTTCCATACCAATGCAAGCCTGCTTAGTAGGTGTTCTTTGGAAACCTGTATGGCATTTGCAATAATAAGAGCCAGGTGTGTTCACACAGTCTCCATTAGAGCATGGATTTGATATACACTCATCAACATCTGTTGGCATCAGAAAAGAATGCAATCAGATTTCATAATTGATCCATAATAGTTTTTAATAAGATACAGCATTTCATAAATGAATACAATTAGCTTACATCAATCACAAACTACCTAATTCATTTCCCCATTTTAAATACATAAGTATCACAATTCTCTAAACAAACGTAATATAAAGTATAAATTTGCTTTTTAAAAAATAGAATATTAAATTCCATGCAAATAAAATCTTCAAAAAGGAAATAATCAAATATAGACCTTTACATACAAGTAATTATTAACATTATTACATTCCAATTTTTGTTTTTACTCTAGCTTGTTATACAGATTTAGATATACTGAATTTCGTTAATATAATGTTATTAACAAACAAAGCAAAATACAGTATCACAGAAGTCAAGTACAATAACATTAAAGTATTCCCTAGTAATAGGTCATTATTCTGTAGGGAAACTATTGCTCAAGTAATTGTGAGCTGCACTGTGCTTGCTGATACTTCCACTTGACTTTAAAAAATTAAGCTGCTTCATTATTTTTTTTAAAGTAAATGAAGCAACTAGCATTCTGCAGAGCAAACTGCAGTTATTAGAGAATCCAGCACGTTTTTTCCCCAAGAGTATTTTTGCCAAGAAGCACTATGGAACAAAAAATAATGGCTCCTTAGATATTCTTTGAAAATAAAGATTACATGTGACTAGCCCAATGCTTTGTTTGGCAGTGTACCACTTCTAAATTTCTAAAGTATGCTTAGAAAAAATAGTATGTGTGCTAAGTCCAAAAAGAGGCACACTATATATGTATAGTACTTTATCTCTGAATTGGACAGAAATAATATTTTCTTTCTATTCAGATCAATGAATACAGAATAAGATCAAACCTTCCTTGTCTTTTAAGTAAAAAAAAACCTATCCAGAAAAAAAAATGTATGAAATCACATTGTGTTTTGACATCTTTGTAATTTCCCAGCCATACTACTCAAACTACCTTAAGATTGTTCAGTGTTTTCTAAACACTTTCCTCCCAAGTACTCTCTTTAATATTTTAACTTACATGGGAATTTATTATACAGTATTTGTTTTGTCCATAAAAGCAAGTTATTTCACAACCAATGCTTCTATGGAATTTTATAAATGAATTCATAAACATATAGTTAGAAATTTGGAGCTGTAACTGAAATATGTATTAGGAGTTGCTTCTTAGCATATTCTAATAATTCAGTATATATTTCCTATATGAACTTGTTCAAGAATTTGATTATCTTAGATATTGCAAATGCTTTCCTGTCATTTTTCTCTAAAATGTCTCGAGAAGCAAAGGGCTAGTGGAGATCTTTATATTCTTAATTATTTTTACCTAGCAAGTATGTTACTAATTTATATATATATTGTACAGAAACAGAAAACATTTCCTTTGCTGGATACGTCTTTTGAAGGTTTTATGTTGGTGAGATAAGTACAAATAAAAATTATGTTGTTATCAATTATCTAAAACATATCTATCTACATTTCAGATAGATCAGAGCTTGCAAAAATGCACTAGAATCAGAAACATGACATTTCTAAAAGTCTGATTTTTAAAGAAGGATATAATAAGAAAAAAGGTGAAATTGGAAGTTGCACTCACCAGTACAGTCTCCATTGGCATCCTGCTTATATCCCATATTGCATTCACACCGGTAACTGGAAATTGTTGGGATGCAACGCCCATTTAAACATAAATTTGGATGATGTTTACAGATATCTATTGTCTGATTGAGTATTGCTATAAAAAGACATAAAGTAAGTTTGGATTATTACCTCTAAAGTTCTTATTTTTAAAAAACAGTACTGTTTTTAAACATTAAATAAAAAATATTGTGTTATTAGGTGAACTCAACATTCTCTGAAGTCAACTGCATTTGTGGAATATCTCTTAGAATGGAATGTAGGACGATGCTGGAAACATTTCAAATTACACTTGACCAGACAACAAGGGTTTCAAACAGCTCAGCCAAGGTAAGGGCTTGTTACTTATTTCCGGAGTTTTTGATGGATATAGGAATTTCTTGTGAAAGAAAGTGGTATTCTCACAATCCTATAGAGAATTCCATTTCAAAGGAGGCTTCATGTTACGGAGGTTCCCTTTTCTTTAAAAATTGATATTTCCAAAGGATTTCAAGAAAAGCACATGCTTGCAAAAGTCTTCCTCTGAGCTTTACATCTGTTGGGTGCCTCTCTCAGAAGTTGCAAAAAAAGAAAGATGAGTTGAATGCTGCTGGGTCCTGAAACTGGCTTGAGTTCCAGGACCCTGCAAAGCCTTAGGTGGCTGAGTGGCTGATTAGGAAACAAGACCAAGGCCTGGAAGCTTCAACAGCTTTGCACACATTGGTAACCTCTGCAACTGACTTGAGGCTCCCTGAATGACTAGCTTGGGAGCAGGGAAAAAGTCTGCAGATTATCCAATGGGCCGGGATTGGTGAGGGAGATCTATGGGTACAGCTCTGCAACATACTGCAGTGAGTCATAAGGGTGAATGACAACAGGGGCACTGCAGTGGGTATAACTTTGAAACCAGGTCATAAGTAGGTTGGGAGCAACTATCCTAACTTTGGTCACCAAGTGACTAGTTGCACATATGTATTTTCCTATTGGTTTTTGCTGGTTTCTTCTTAATTTAAGCAGAACTGCAGATTTCTCTCGCATAATGTTGAGATTCATCATTTTTCATTCCTTACATAACTTGGTTGAACCTCAATGAAGAAATCTAGAGTTTTGGAAATGGAAATCAGATTCCACTGGACTGATGAAAGCAGCATCACAATATTGCAATGTAAGTGCTATCTGTGTTTTCCCAGAAGCCCAAAAGAGGTACAGCTTATATTGGGTTACTTCTTTCATTAATCTAAAGAAAGCAGCTAGAGAGTGTGGATGTCACTGCCAGGTTCCCTATCAGGAAGAAAATGGAAATAGAGCCCATAATGCATGAAATATGGAAAGACCAAGTGCAGATCAATTAATGTTTTTTAAATCAAAAATTACTTAGAATATATAACGAATTTGAAATTTTACGTAAGATTAAATTAGCATTGATTGTGAGCATAGACTTAAAATGTAAGATGATTTTTTTAAAAAAAAATGAGGACACATAATACTTCACATACTGAATGACTCATAAGTGCAATAGGAGTATCCTGGGAATGTAAAGCAACTTGAGAAGCAATAGGAAGAACTGAAAAAAATCAAGTTTATATTGTTAGCCATATTTTACTGATAAAGTAGATATTAAAAACCCTATTAGTTTTAAGCATGAAGCAGAAAAGAAGGTATTAAAAAGTTTACTATAAGAGCTTTCAGTTTTATAATTATGCAATGAAGCGACTTACTCAGTCCTGTAATGATGGGGCCATTTCCTGTGGGACCTTGACCACCAGTCCCTATTCCCGTTCCATGCACACCTGGGGAAAACCCATTTCCACCAGGAATAGGGATGAATCCTGTTCCTCCTGGGCCAAAGCCATTTCCTCCTGTGCCACCAGGCCTGGAACCTCCTATAACAGGAATGCCATCTATGCAAAGCCCACGATATTCATCTACAAAAATTAAAAACATTTATAATCACATTTTTCCAAAAAATGCAAATCATAAGATCACATATTTTTCAAAACATGCATACAGACATCAATTGTTGAAAAACAGCATTTTACTATAAGATTTGCTATTCTTTACATACAAAAATGAGTAACTATTGAGTAGATCTAGTATAACGTTTTATTATAGTATCTAGTATACATTTTATTTAGTTATCAATTTAGTTTAATTCACTATATGATAAATATTGATAACTGTGAACATTTAGATAAAATTTAAGACACCTCCAATATAATTACACTCTAAGTCAACATTTCTCAGGAAATTATGTAGGCTTTTAATACGGAAAAGATTATTCTAATCAAAGTAAATAAAATAACTAAAGGAACAATAAAAGCTAGTGCAAATCTACATAATAGATGCAGATAATAGAGGCAACATTAAAATGAAGTATAATTCTGAATTATTTCCCACATCAATATTCTCCATCAGCCACTACAAATGTTGTCCTACTCAGCAAGTCAATGAGCTACTAACTAAAGATGTATTTCAATTAGCTTAAAGGGAAAAAAGGAGTTCTATATAGAACAACTCTTACATATACAATGCAATATAGGAAAAGATAATTTTGTATGCAGACAAATAGCTCATTTAACTAAATTTTCTTGCTACTTTTTATTTCAAAAACATCCTATTGGCTGATGCTTTCTGTATGTAAGTTCACCCTTCGAAGATCCAACAGAATGAAGATATAAAAAATTGTTATCAGTTTAATTTAACAATGAAATGAAATGAAAGTTGCTTCATTAAATCCAAATGATAAATAATTCCCTCAAACAAATTTTGTTTTAAAGAATTATTTCAAATAACTATAGGAAAAACTGGCTCAATCAATAATAAATCAGAAGCAGTGGGGCTTAATTTGATAAATACTTTAAAGTAAGCCTTTTCATTGTTTCAGGGTTGATATTAAAATGAGTTTTTCTAGTAAATTTAACACGCTAAGATATTTACCAGAGCCTCTAGCTGGACAAATTTCTGGAATGGATCCAAGAGCCCAACACCGTCCAGACTCACAACAGCACTGCATCTTGATAAACCTGCCTGGAAGCTCTTGTGCACAGCGACCATTCAGCAGACTGGAGAAACAAGTACCTGCTCTTTGATCTGGATATTAATTTAAAAAAATTATTAATGGAGCACTTAGTAAAAATATTTTCTTAACTATTATAAATATAATCAGTGAAACAGGCAACACTACCATCTGCAATTTATGACTGCTGTTATTGTGAATATAGCTATAAGAACATTTGGGAAGGCCATAGACAAAAAAAGACAAAAGTATGCAAATAAATTTATATCTACACCACAAATCAGTCAAGTGACTCCGTACTTAAGCACTACTTCAAACTTTTCCTTTTTCACTGCAATTCGCAGTGGGGGAGAAGAAATGATTTGCTTTTTTAGTTATAGCATTTAGTGGTGTATAGTCACCCATTTCTAACAAAGTGACTCTGAATGATATAGAAAAGTTTTCTATAAATACAAATCCTCCCCTTTTCCTCAAAAACCCCAATACAGTACTTTAAAAACTAACTAGAACCGTAAAATATATCCATCTCCCAAAACAAGCAAATTTGGGCAGTGTACAATAAAGTTAAAAAATAATCCTTCACAAATAATAATAATTATTATTAAAAACATTAAAAACTAATGGTGACTAATTGAAATGATGACTAGATTAAAATATGCTGCAAATTAACTACTTTTATTTCGTACATCTTTTATTGACTTACATTATCAGGTTTGTCATGTGGCTATTTTCAGGAATCTTGTGGCTGGAAATTAACGTGGGGTTGTGAATTTGCTACTTTGTATTTGTATCTAGATCACTTGGATGGATCAGCAAGCATCTGTAACAGAAGGTCTGTGGCACCCTTCTGTACATAGAAATTTCCTTGTGATAAATAATTTAATTGTGCCTTCTAGACTCTCAAGGAAAGCATGATAAATGTGACCAGAAAGTGTATCTTTATTGTTTAGAAGAATTGACAACCATATACAGTAAGATAGATGGCAGTTTCTGAGGAACAGTACCATAGAATAGTGCCTCAGAATTTACTCTCAGAATTTCTGTGCCCTCTTGAAGAACTACCCCCCTGTAAGAAGAAAAGCTTTGGATTTCTTCTCTTGGCCTCCACACTGTCTTTATGATGGATACTTGTTTACATTCACTAATTTTTCCTTTTAGTGCAGAAAATCTCACCAAGTTATACTGAAGCCTTTGAGCTACTAACTTGATACCTAGCATATCCACTGCTGAGTTGGTTTCTGATATAGGATAAAGAGTACAAAATGATATCTTACAAAAAAAAGTGTAGAAAAAAGGCAAAAGTGTGTAAGACCATAACATTTTCACTTCCCAAAATAATTGAGAACACAATATTGCATACCATCTGATACAATGTTCTCTGAACAAGATCTTCAGAATGAAGTAACTTCAACTGCAGAATTGGGCAAAGATTTGAAAGTTACTCAAGAGACCAGGGACATGCAGTCAGGGGAGACAGGGGAGGCAGGGCCTCACCACTGTCATCATGAAAAGAAAAAAAATAAAAGGAAAAAGCTGAGGTAGTTGCTGCCAGAGTCACAGTGGATGACTCTGCTTAGTGCTGAACTGTTTTAAAAAGCCTCTTAAAAAAGTGCCCTCTACAGGAGGAGGCGAGAGAACCAATTGCCTCATTTAGTCTATCTTTATGATCACTTGAGCAGATTTAAGCAAGGGTTAGAAGGCGAAAAATTCCTTATGTAGATGAGGCACGTGGTTCTCTTGCCTCCTCCTGTAGAGGGCACTTTTTAAAGAGGCTTTTTAAAAACAGTTAAGCAGAGTCATTCATTTGGGACTCTGGCAGCTAGCCCAGCCTTACTTCAGCAGCTCTTGCCTTTTTCTTTTTACCTTTTTTACATTTTCATCATGGCAGACAAAAGGAGAGTTGAAATCCTCTGTGAAACAGCTGGAAAAGGTATGTGGGTTGGAGGGAGGGGGGAGGAATTCAAAATTATTGTAATTTGTAAGTATTTTTTATTGTAAGTAATTTCTGTGTGTGTGTGTGTTTGTTTTTTCACTTCACTCAAACAAACTCTCTCTCAATTTGAGAGAGTGTTTGTTTGAGAAGAGAGGGAAGGGGGAGAGCAGGGATGGCAGCTTGTTTGAGAAGAGAGGGGTAGCCCGCCAGCAGAGGCGGGTCTTTTACCCACCTCTGCTGGCGGGCTGGTGCTTTCTTTCTTTTGCCAGGCCCCTCGCACCCACAACCAGCCCGCTGGAGCTCGCCATGCAGCTGGAGGAATGGGCTGGCTGGGCTGACTGGCTGGGGAGGGGGCATCATGGCCGCTCAGGTGGCCTCCGCTGCCGCCGCCACCAGCAGCTTGGGTGTCCCGGCTCTGTCCGAGCTGAAGAAAGCAGAGGATTGTTCATCGGAGGAGGCGGGGGGCGAGGCAGTGGAGCTTAGCAGTGGCGAGAAACAGTCGGGTTCGGGGCTTCACCAGGGCTTTTGAGTCGCTAGGTATGGGGTGGGTGAGGGTGGGGGGTGGGGAAGGCTATTGGTGGTATCTTGTTTACTTTAAACCACTGCAGGTGAAAACTGATCCATCTGGGCGTGCGTATCATATGAATGTTAAGGTTTACGAGGCATCCCAGGTTTAAAAACAGCTGTCTTGACTGGCTTCCTTGATGGTGCAAAAAGAGCCTTTTGTCTTTGACTTTCTTTGTGGAACCACCGAAACTCCTCTTTGAAAGGACAATCTGCAGGCGGGCGGGTGAGATTTCCTGCACTTTGGCAGCATCATCTCCTCACAGGGTTTCTTCCAATGTCCCAAGTGTATGGATTTTCATGCCTATAAGAGGTGGCTTCTCACCTACATATTCACACTGAAGGCTTGAAATGGGCGTTTTTGCAAACGGCTTGAAAATGTGGAGGAGGATATTCCTGCCTCTCACCCTGTTCTGAAGGTCAGCACAGACTGAAAACAGGATAAGAGACAAAATCCCCCCTCCTCATTTTCAAGCAGTTTGCAAAAACATTCCGATCCTTCACATTATCCAGGATTGCAGGATTGAAGGCATGGAATGGGGCGTTTTTGCAAACTACTTGAAAATGGGGAGGGGGGATTTTGTCTCTTATCCTGTTTTCAGACTGTGCTGACCTTCAGAACAGGGGGAGAGGAAGAAATATCCCCCTCCACATTTTCAAGCCGTTCGCAAAAATGCCCCATTTCGAGCCTTCAACATATTCCAGGATTGCAGCATTGAAGGATTGGAATGGGGCATTTTTGCGAACGGCTTGAAAATGTGGAGGGGAGATTTTACTTTACATTGTGACATCACCAAGGCCAGTCCTTTTCAATCTCCCTCCCGGTGCCCGCTTTCAAGAAAGAGGCTTTTGGCCGTTCCGGCACTTTGTCCGACTCCGACATGTCAGAGTCGGACAAAGCGCCGGAGCGGCCAAAAGCCTCTTTCTTTCTTTTTGCCTCACCAGCCATAAACCTCACCACACGTCATTGCCAGAGACTAATAACAAATGAAATGAAAAGAAAAAAGAAAAATCCGTAGAAAGGACAATAAAAATTGGTACTTTGCGGTATGGTAACTTACCAAGGCAATGAGAGCCATCTGTGGATGTCACAAAGCCACGTGGACATAGACAAATGTAACTTCCAACAGTATTGGAACATTCACCAGCATCACAGATTCCTGGGATGAGGCTGCATTCATTAATATCTACAGATTTAAACAAATGAGGAATGACTGTCCACAAAATATAATTATTTTAAATATATTTATGTTATTAAATATTATATCCATGAGTGCACTATATTGGGCTCTATATGCAAGCTGGAATTCTGATTATTTGATATATATCTACAAATATTGAATTCTGCACTTTTATATCTGATTTACAGAATTAATATTAGCTCAATAAAGTATAGGAAATCTTATGCAATTTGTGATCTGCAACTGTAACAAAATATCATTATAGTATAGAAACCGTATATAGGATAAAGCTAAACTGGGGGGCGGGAGCGATAAGACACTTCTTTAACATAAATGGATATTAAATCTCATCAACAAAAGATCATCTTATCTATGTAAAAATCCTGCACTGATACAAAGTATCTATTTGTGACAGAAGACAGGCATGTATATAACTTAACATGTTGAGATAGAGTTCAGGAGGGATACTTTTTTACTTAACAGCATTTTTGAACCCCCACATAATACTAAATGTACTTAAGAACTTTAAACTTTAAAACAATAGATTAAAAAAACAAATATAAATTGTTATCTGTAATAAAAATACAATAAAAAGAATACATTAAATAACAAACATCTATATATTAAAATTAATAAGAAAAAGTTCTTTAAAATAGTGTTCATATATTTAACATCATTTAATAAAAGATGAAACTCATTATAAAATGAATTATGCAAAGGATGTGAAACTAGAAAAGAACCTTGCCCCATATTCCCATAAACCTAGCCTCCTTAATGGCAGAATATATAGAAGAATGAGCAACACATATCTTATTCAAGGCAGATTCATATGGAAGATTGTTTCTATAGTTAATTTTATAGTCCATTAATGCATGAAAATAAAAGTTGAATTATAAATATGTAGAAAGTATGTTTAAAGAAACTTCAGACAAACTTGTTTTACTAGACGCAGTTTTTAAATTTTGCACTTCTCTCTTTCAAAGGTTGCTGTGTTCACTTAAAATGTGTGATGTAGAAGTAATAAATCCATTAGCTACACTGGAAGTGGCCCCTAGCAGATGCTATGATTTTTTAAATCATCTCTACAGTACCTCCAAAGTAAATGTATATGTAACTATTTACAAGGATAAAGAATACAGAAACTTTTTAACTGGAGAAAACATTAATCATTGTTCTAAGTCCTAACAAGGCCAGGGATGTAAGAACCGATATTTAAGGACTAGGCATCAAAAACAGGAGTAGACACAGCTATAAAACTGATGGCCAATTCCCAGCTATGGAATAAGGTAATAAAAAGCCAGCCTGCCAGGAAAAACAGTTTTCCTCCAAGGAGAAAATAAAGGAATAAAGTAAGAATGCATCTATTTGCTAAAATACTTTCATTGAATATCTAATAAGTATCTAATAAATAATTCCACCAATATACAAGAATAATTTTGCAGACACATACAAATGAATAAATGTTCTTTTCTGTTAATAGTAGAATTGATATTATTATTAATAAAGCACTTAAAACTGTATGATCGCATATTCGGAAGCTTCTAAAAAGTCTATTCTTATAGTTCTATGCATTAATAAAACCAGAAAAGGAGCCACCCAACATTCTGAATTTGGTTGCTCTTAGAAATGTCTACTAACAATTCATAAGAAAATTCCAAAAGTTTGGAAGCCATTACTGGCAAAGGTCTATGGAGATTCTCAGTCATTCAGGTCTTGGTTGTCACCAGAATTATTGGTGAAGATTAGATTGAACTACAAATCAAGGATTGCCCTTCCATCATTATAATCAATATTTTTAGATTAACTGAAATTAATGGATACTTTGTGGTGGACTGCTGTTCCTCACTGTTCAACAATTATTGAATTCCTTAATCTAGAAAGAGGAGTATTTCTCTTTAACATTTTTTGGCATTAGCAACAAGAAATCAAATGCAGTGATCCAGAAAAATGTCTCTTCCACATTTCATCTCAAAACAAATCAGGATAACTCAAAAGTCGCTGTGAGCGAATAGGTGGCTATAAGGGAGAGGAAGAGAGGGAGGAACCCTTTCTTTCTCTCTTCTTTCCCTTTTTTATTTCTTTTGTATGTGATATGTATGTGATATGTATGTAATTGAGTGAATGATCCCACTTTTTATTGCCTATTATTGTTGTATTTCTGTGTTTTTAATCATTACGTGGGGACTGCCTGGGTGAGTGAATGAGTATGTTCGATTCGGAGGACCTGTCGAGGAATGCGGGGGTCATTGGGGTGGTCGGGGGAACTATCGACATGGGAGTGGGCCGGAGCATCACGGTCGTAACAGGGAGGGGCAGATATGGCGGGGACTTTAGGGCTGGCCATTACCGGGGAAGGAGGGCTCGCTACGTTACGTTACAGAGATCCCTCCTTCCGGCCCTATGAGTCCCACTCCAAGGCCAGATGGCGCGAGTAACCAGGACCCTGGCCTCAGGTTGTTGTTGCTAAATGCCAGGTCTGTAGTTCATAAGGCTCCCCTCATCCGTGACTTAATTTTAGACGAGAGGGCAGACCTGGCATGTATT